AAATTAATTACAAGCCCAACGTAAACGCCAAATAAAACCAGTTCAGAAAAAAAGCTTTAGATACAAAAAAAATTCTAAATATAACCATTAACCTATTCAAAGAGCTTCAGATGTAATACATAATAATTTCGATACAAAATACCATATAATCAAGATATACCAAGAAAATACCAAAACTATAAAATCTCTAAATACCTGAATTGTAAAAAAAACCTTCATAGGTAAATGATGTAAATTCCCCAATCAAACTCTTGGCTTTGATGATGCTAGATTCAAAAAGATAAACTTGCAACCAAGTTACCAATAAAGAAAAAATGATATTATAGGTCACTGTGAAACAATACTTCAGTTATTTAACCAAAAATCTTAAAGTAAAAACCGTAGCTTTCTTTTCTAAAAGCCATGAGGCTTAGTATTCAGACTCAAGAATCTTATTCTCACGAGAAGCCAAACCTTCGTCCACCAGGCAGATTACACAAAGAATAAATTAACCCCTTAACTCAGAAATTGAAAGAAAATTTTGTTATTTTAACAGTGAGAAACCCAATTCTTTCTTTTATATGCTACTTAACATTGAAACTTCTACAAATCACATAAATTAAACCATTAAACTTTAGTCAGATAACACTTGACCATATCAAATAAATTTCTTTTTCAGTAAACTTCTTAAACATTGCCTTCATTGCATATCTCTTAAAGTCTATCCCTTTAAATGGCAACAATCAAAATACTCATCAGCAGACTTAAACTTATATATATCTGTCTATCCTTTCTCTCGTGGCATAAAAAGCCAAAGTATGTAAGCTTAAATTATGACAAAAATCTATTAACTCAATTTAACACCAGTAAGTTACCTAAAATGTATTGGGAATTATTTTGAGCCTGTATACCATAAAACATAACTGTTGTTGAAAGAAAGTCTGTTTAAACATTCCAAGTTTTTATTCAACTTTTACTATTTCTCATATTTTTTCCAACCTAATTTTAGCCCTTAACGATACTTTCAAATGGCTTTGGAAATCACAAGGTCTCTGTCTGATTGACCAATTCATTGATATGGATATAACTTTAAGCCTCTGACTACTGCTGGAAACATTTTTCCAGGCCATTTGAGGTGTGTCTTATTGTGATTTCTATTGTTTGACTTCTTAGAGTTCCCCTATAATAGAGAGAACTTGCTTATGGTTCTATTATCTGGATCCACTCAATTTCTGATAACTATAGAAAAGTAGAAATTTTAATTATCTTTTGTCT